GATCTTACCCCTTTTTGCATCTCTTAAAGCTTCACTTCTTTCTGGCCTAGGTGTATCAAAGGCTGCGAAGCCCGCTCATCGGGATTGGCACACTGCTGGCTTCCGCCGGACAAATCGTTTGCATCCATCGAATCTATCCGGAATGGTGTCGCCAAGTTTCACTAATTCACCCTCTTCAACAAGCTCCTCACCAACGCCAGCTTACAGTGGAGCTACCTATGACGCTGGATCAGGCATGCCTCCAACTCCACCACAATCGGCCCCACCGCAGAAAACATACGGGTTTCGTTTTCGCAGCAAAAGTATGCATTTTTGTTGATCAGATTTTCAACTTCATAAAAAATATTTTTAATGCGTGGATGGTGAACAGCATTCTGCCAAATGGAGGAATGGTTCAGTACTTTATATTTACAGGCCCGAATGACAAAATGCCCATCAGAGGGCCTGGCGGCGGTCCGTCCTCAGTTTCATCGGATCGTTTGGGTGATACGCATGAGGTAGGCGTAAATTTCCTTTTGTTTTGGTAAAAGAGAATACTTATCAGGCCCGATTAACTGTTTAGGGTGACAATCGCGAGAAGTTAAAGCAGCGTATTTTGATGGAAGGCTGGGAAATTGACCGTTCGCTTGTCACTTATCACAAGAAGATTGGCAGCGGATCGTTCGGTACTGTCTATTTGGGCAGTTATTTTGGTATGTCTTTGTGTCTTTCCACATTTTACTGTCGTGTCTAGGCCTTCGTTCTGTGTTTGGCTGAGGAAGAAATACATATTCTTTTATAAGTTCTGGAAGAAGTAAAGATATGTTACTTTTTTGCTATTTTTTAAGCGATTATTCGCTTGGCTATGTTCTTTTCCACAGGCGAATGCAAGGCCGCAAATGATGCAATTTCTTTTTTCGCAGGGCCATGTTTAGCAAGATACTTGTATGTCATTTTTAGGTGGAATAGTGTTGTAGGAAATTTACCAGAAAAGTTTCATTATTACTTCATAATGCTTCAAATGTTTTTTTTTAGGCAAAGTGGCAATAAAAAAGCTGAATGTGGGCGAGCCCAGTCCAGCCCAGCTTCAAGCTTTCAAAAACGAAGTAGCGGTCTTGAAAAAAACCCGACATGCCAATGTTCTGCTTTTTATGGGTTGGATGCGCGAGCCCGATCTTGCTATCGTCACACAGGTCATCCATTTTTCACATCTTTGAACATGATACACATCACAAATGGGGACCCGCGGAGGGAATCGCAGTGTAGTGCCTAAGTAGACGAACTGGCGGTGCAACACCATAACGCAACACTACCGTCCCAGCCGACGCCCTTTTCCCCCGCATGCAAGAAAAGACCAAAACACAAGCACATGAGTTGTACGTGTTAAACTGTAGAGCAACAACCATTCATACTGTTAGTGATCTGACTGCGTCAAGTTTAGTACAAAAATGCATAATCGCACGGATAAGCCTGGTGCCTTGCTAAATGGGTTTTGTTAAAAGGTGGCTCGCGAGCTTAAATAAGTGTGTAAATCAGGCCCGCATGTCGCCAAAGGTTACTCATGCCTGATATACATAATAATAATAATAATAATAATAATAATAATAACAATAATAATAATAATAATAGTAATAATAATAGTAATAATAATAATAATAATAATAATAATAATAATCGCAGTGGCGTTAGCAGAGTCAAAAAAGTGCGGTGGTCGAGGAATTGCCAAAATTACTTTCTTCGGCACTTTTTTCAGTTGCCATTTCATTGCCATGTTCCCTCGCATCGTTAATGCAGTTGAAATCTTCTAAATTTGCTCCATTCTGAGCTCCTTTCATTCGTATGATTCCATGCAGGCGCTCAGGCGACTTCCGCCCCCC